TATATATATATATATATATATATATATATATATATATATATACACATCAGATTAATTTTAGAATGACAACGAAGCAATTAAAACTTTCACTCAGTAATATACGTGGTAGATTGAAGTTATATATTCTATACTTAATGGTACTTTGTCTGTTAAATTGACTACACACACACAACGAGATTTTTTCTTTCTTTTGAGTAAAGACTTGGGAAAATATCTTAAATAATTCTTATGTTGACGTAATTGTTCATCAAGATATTTTGAGATACTTCAAGACTAATAAATGCCAAATTTGTTATATGTGTTTCATTTCTTTTTTGCTATATCTTTTTTATTATGTGTAATAAATATATATTGGTCAGAAACTCAATGTAATTTTTTTAACTGTGTAAATAAGCAAACTTATGTTCGTGGAATCACTGAAAAAAACGATGTTATGATATTGCAACTTTATTGTTAATATTAATAGTCCAACTTTTTACCGCTGTGTGTCTCTTGCATTTAAATTAGATCTGCATCCACCTGATAGGTCCAAAACCGTAACAGTTCGCAATATGCATGCATTTGTGAAGGTATAAAAGTAATAAAATAATGATAATTATTTTGTCTTATTATTTTTTATTATTAAATGAAATTTCAACCCTGAAACCTGTGGTGTAAATGTTTACCTGATAAATACCAAAAAATGTATATAGCTTCAAAAAATTCAAAGACATAATATTTTATTTTCAGCTGAAAACAGTTAAGATAACTAATATTACTTCTGACTAGTTTCTCCACTGACTTATGTCTAAAGGAAAGCTGTTAAAGCTTGATTTATGTAACTATACACACACACTCAAACAATATCAACTAATGCCTTGTGACACTTGTGTGAACTACAAGTTCTAACAGATAATTTACAGTGTTTAATTTCCAAAATATTTAACCTTTCTCTTTCTGCTAATTGCAAAGTTAGTGTTCTAAGATATATATAATCAGTTACTTGCGTATCATATAGATAAATGATCAGTTACTCGCCTTGCATAAAAAATATCTAAATAGTTATTTGTCGGTATATAAATATCTAGAACGCCAAAAGTTAAAAAATTTCTTTTCTCTTCATTAGATGCCTTGGTCTATGAGGCAACCGAGGTGCCACCTGGCATAAAACATATGTTGCTTATACTATACGTAAGTAAGATTTATTCTTATGTTGTTGTTTTTTAAACATAAGATAATATTAAGCAAACTATAGTAGACTATGTTATTATAAAGCATACCTAAGTGTTATAAAAAAGAAACTCTATTATGATTGATGGATTCAAGATAATCAATATTCATGAGCTAAGGAAATATATTTTGTAGTGTTTGTATGTATTCTTGATTTACGAAACTAACATAACTATATCAAACTTAAGAAACCAGAAATTAACTACAACGTAATTATATAAAGACAGTTTTTCAACCAATGCACAAGCTTCAGTTATTCGTAATCATAATTTCTTTTTTCAGTTGTAGATGTTTAGTTTTATAACAAATAGTTTCGTCCCATTGACTTCCTTGAAGACTCACTTTTCACTGTAAATTTGTGCTATAAGTGTTATGGGACATTTTATATACTAAGTAGGTTAACTAATAAGAACAAAAAAAGTTTTAAATCTTCTTGTATTTAAATGAAAACCTAACGTATTTTCACATTAACAATAAATCAATGTATCTAACGCTGTATCGTTTTTTGAGATACCAAACTGTAAAATCACTGATACTAAAGCGGCATCTGTCGACATACACTTGAAATATGAGTTAGTGCTGTACAAATGAGCTAAAGATCTCAACAGGTTTTATTTGTAATTCAAACACGTTATCTTTGATCTCCAGTTTTTATTAATAATTCTTCTGATGCTCTTAAAACAAAAGCATTTGGATCTTTTTCCGTATATTATTACAACAGGTCTTTAGGTATTTTAATGATTTTCTAATGTATTACAAATTAAACATTTGGTTGTTTCAGTTCCATTAACAACTATCCACTTCATATGTGACTCTAAAGGTTCTATATAATAAGTAGTTAAAAATGGTAACTGAAAGTTAAATTATCTTAATTAATCAAACTTGTTCGAAATAATAACTAATATATGACTGTATTTCTTTCACTAAATATAAAATAATACTCTACTACAAATGTTTTAAAGTTAATTGGAAATACCAGATAAATATATATTGTTACTAGATTCACCAAGGTTTCTACTAATGTTCACTATAGCAAAATTCAACTATTAGACTGTAATACCCATCAATGATTAGACTGAACGATAACAATACTCGGTTAAATTAAATAATATATTTAATGCAATGTTCCTGGTGATGATAAAAATAATTCTTACTTCAAAAATGGTAGTCTTCATGGAACATTTTTAAATGCATGATTTTTATTAAATAATATCGTTATCAAATCAACGACTTGACTTGTAAGAAATTCTTGAAGAAAGATAGCTTACATGATTACTTTATTCATTTTATAAAGAACGTGAATGACTCCTTTCCTCCAAACAAGAATAAGCTGAGGCTCGAGCTCCTGTTGGCCAGAGTAATAGTACCTTTCCTAGGATTTAAGGGTTTGTACTATGGAACACGTGAGCCACTGATAGAGTCATCTGAACCAGAGCTGTTAGCGAGAAGAAGGTCTAGTGGTAAGGTTTTAGTTTTGTTTGTCTCTCTCTTCTACGTTTAGGATAATTTGGAATTACTTTGAATTCTGATACTTTCGTATTTTATCGTTATTTCTCTCTTCTTTTTCTTTAGATGGTAGCCGTCGATTGTCACGTCCGCTCAGTATTCAGCCTCATCAAGTTGACACTCTTAACGAAATGTTCCTAAATGTTCTCAGAAAACAGCATGAATGAGTCTTTTGCCACCAAAAGCAGCATTCAAAATGACAGGGAAATTTGGTAGAAACATTCAGGTCATTGAGTGTTCGGGAATATCCAGTAAGTGTGCGACAAAGTCAACTTCAAATTTTTTTGCCATAGGGTACAGTTTAATCTACCGTACTTCTACAACCATTGGTAGATTTCGACTTTAACGTCGTGTGACACGCTGATACAACCTGATCTCAAGTATTGTCTCAAAGATAATTTGCTTCAGTCCAACTTCCATGTTTTTTTACCCACATTAATAGGCTACAACTTTAACGTTGTGTGCCACGCTAATATTAACTGGTTTCACGTTCCTTCATAATTTGGTTCAGTCCAACTTCCATGTTTTTACCCTCATTCGTAGGGCACAAGTTTAACGTTGTGTGCAACGCTGACACAACCTGATCTCAAGTTTCTTGATAATTTGGTTCAGTTCCACTTCCATGTTTTTACCCTCATTCGTAGGGCACAACTTTAATGTTGTATTCTACGCTGATACAACCTGATCTCAAGTTCCTTGAAAAATTGGGTACAGTTCAACTTCCATGTTTTTACCCTCATTGGTAGGTTACAACTTTAATGTTGTGTGCTATGCTGACACAACCTTGACTCAACGAGTTCATTGCTACTAAACTTAAATATTAACGCTTCATACTACTTTAGCACGATTGCGAGTTAACTTTCCTTGTTACTTTCATACCTTTTATTATCATCTTTATTTGTTATTTGGACACTCTTCAAAATGAACATTCATACTTCTTTAGTAGATTTCAGCATGAATGTTCGTGTCTAGTGTTTTGTTGCTCCTCAGTTTTACTTGCCTCATTGGTACAATTCAACATTAACATCTCTTGTTGTTTTGATGCAATTCAATATCAATATTATGTATTTATTTAATACAATTCAAGATTGGAGTTGCTTATAAGTTTGGTGGAATTTAAGATATTTTTTTACCTCTTCAGTACAATTCAAAGTGAACATTCCTTGCTAATTTGAAACAGTTCATCATAAACGTCTCTTACTTTGGTGCAATTCAACATCAAAGAACCAATTTTCAGTGACATAGTCAAATTTTAATGCTTTTCAAAACGTATGTAAAGCTTCTTTTTTGATTCTATGCCAGATAGATGCTAGAGGACATCGATATTGTTATGGTATTTTTATAAAAAATTAATATCGAGCTTCGTTACAACATTGAATTAACCTATAGGTTTCAAGAAGCAACTAAAATATCTCCATCTGTTAGAAGGAAACACTAGTTGATGCATTAAGAGATAGAAAAACTTGAATGATGGCAAATTATCCATTTCTTGGTTTATTTTGACTTTTAGTATGTATTTTCCCAGAGTACACAGCTATTTGTAAAATAATGTTTGGAATTCGTTAATGAAATTTTAACAACTGAGTGACGTCTACCTTTACGTTTTTGTTTTCAAAGGAATTGAATATTTCTTTGCATAAGTACATGTATTTCAGTTTTAGTCTAGAAAGCGATATACATAAAGATTAATGTGTATATATTTTCAATATTGGGAGAAAAGAGTGGTACAAAGCAATGGGAATAAATTTTCAGTACTATATATATATATATGTATATACACGCATCTACGAATTTTCTGTTGTATATCAATGAATTTATATAGATGTATTATTCTTTGTTTTACTTTTTTTTGTACAATAATGATTTTACATCTAAATTTCTGTTTAAGTGTTATTTAAAGATTATACCAATAAATCAAAACTATAAAATGTATTTTCCTAAATATCAGTAAAAAATCACCATAAAAATGCTCTAATTTGAAAGAAGTGTCTTACTTATTTTGCCTTATACTGAACAGTTTGGGTCCGTGAAAGAACAGGTGGTAATGATTAACGAAAGGCAACGTAAGTTGCTTATTAGTTGAAGAACATTTGGGTATTGATGGTTTATTTGGGCTTATTGGCGCAAAGCAACGCGGCTGTCTGTGCTCATTTGGGGTATCGACGAAACATCAGACGTAAGGTTTCTGTATCCTATAGTATCTGTTGCATCATTTCACAACTCACGAGAACATGTGTACATTTAAAGGTTGAAAATTAATAAGTTTAACTTGAACTATGAGTATGACGTTACTCGTAGTTATTAAAAATACTATTTATGGCTTAGAACAAGTAAAACTAAACGATTTAAAATTGATGTTGAATATCATATATATATATATATAATCAAAATATTGTAAATACATTGCCAATTAATAGGCACACTTAACGTATTGTTATATAGACATAAAATTAACGTCAGAACTAATTTTTTTTATAAATTTATTAAATTGTATATATTATGATACAGACGAAAAGCCTTAAAATTTTACGAACTAAATTTTCTGTTTCAAGACATTTTTGTACATATAGAACAACTATTTTGTTTCTGATAATCTAAAATGTAATAGATTTGTATGAAAATCACTAAAGAAAAATGTATTAGTAAAAAAGTTTTGACTATATTTTCACAAAGAAGTGAAGCTCACATATCAAAATATGTTGGTCTTTATATGGAGTGTATTCGTATTATTATATTACACAGTTTTGAAATACTTGCTAAGTTCAAAACATTATACTGACTTTTGAAAACACTACTGCTTTATATGATCTGAAATAAAAGGTGTTAAAAATAAATAATGTTGTACTGTTAATTCTTACCTAAAAATATGATTTGTAAATAACTTAAATAAAATTGATAATAATTACAATTCACTTGTGTAATCTAATTCACATCCTAACGGTTGTTTTTTTATTGTGAAAATTGATGATATATATATATATATACATCGCTTAGACCAATATCCTGTTTGTCGTATCTCCGATGAGCCCTGGCATTGAGCGAAAGGCTTCGTCGGCACTGGATACGGCAAACATATTTTGGTTGAGATATTATAGCATTCTTTTCTCTGTTTTCACTATTGCGGTCTTATAGTAATAATAATTATGCACTAAGTTCCAAAATACATTTTTTGTATGCATTATCAAAAAATGTATAAGTCAGTATTTTGTATTATGTGATTATAGTACATAGAGGGTATAATTTACAATATGCTAGACACAAATCTTAGAATCAGTACTTTATGGCCTCGAGGCTTAACCTAACATAATTTGAACCTACTGATTTCGAAAGTTATTGTTACCAAGCTACGTTTGGACGCGTAGATCCTTAAGCTTGTAAATAAATACTAGCATTCATCATAAATATTTGTGTGCAAGAACTTGTCAGCAAAATCAAATCGTATGGCGTAATTCCTTTTCAGCCTTTTAACTAAGAACATATGAGCTATGTGCTCATTATCATAACGAAGAAGCAGATAAAGGAATGATTTTACACTGTGTCCAGAGTGATATCGACATCATGGTTGTTCCAACTAGGCACATTGGTGGGCTTAGTCGAACTGTTGACTCGTAGATTTGGATAAAGTTAGTATATCAAAGGAACCCAAGTACTTTCCTAGTGTTGCCATTTGGAAGAAACTACAATATGTCCTCACTGTTTTAAAATCTTTCATCTCATTTCACGTTCTGACTGATTGTGGTACAACTTTTTTTTTATTGCTGGACACAGCAAGAAGACCGTATTTAAAGTTTCTCAGTGACACTATCAGCTTCTGGCACACCTGAACAAGATGACCTAAGCTCAGAAAAGATGAAATGTGCACTGTCCAAAGTCAACACTTCCTCCTCCACGTACACTGAGGCGGAAACAGGAGAACGGAGGACTGTCACAGTTAATGTTGTTGTCACCAGTACTTGCATTCTGCATGGAAGCTCGACTCTGAGGCCAAATAACAAGGTGCTTAAGTCAGCGATGCAGGTACGGGACAGTAAGACTGGAACAAGAACTGTGTCAATGTACCCAACCCTTAGTGCTTAAGGACAGTATTATCGAATACGAAGATCATGTCATGATCACTGACCTAATAAAATGTTGATTCAACCTGATATATACCAACATTTGCCAGAAAATTGTAATAAACCATAATAATGTGCAAGAATCTGTCAGCAAAATCAAATTATTTGGCATAATTCTTTTCAGTCTATATAGAACAATCAGCTATGTGCCCATAAGGAAGAAGCAAACAAAAAAATAATTTTACACTGTGTCCACAAATATGATAACATATAGAAATAAAGTGACAAGAACCTAGGATCACTTAATTACATAATTAAAATTTTTACTTAATGTTTAATCATCCATATATTTCCATTTGTTCCAAAAACAGGTGTTTTTAGATTAGGTGTTGTATTTCTGATAGTTTATTCAGTATGTATACTTTTGTTTCAACGTGCTTATGCTCAACTTATGAGAATCATGTAAGCATGCCCTTTTGTGGTTGTACAACGCATTAAAACACTTTCTAGTACCTTTTGGAAGTAAGAAACAGAAATATATTAGATTTATATAAAAAAACAGGTTGTGAATGTGATATCGGTTTTATTAGGTCCTTCAACCCAATAAGTTCATTCTGAATTATGTTAATCCTAAACGAAAAAGAAATAAGGAGCTTAATAGAGCTTAGAAACAACCATATTTGGATTCAGCACACCTAAATTATTTCAAAGGGATTTGTTACTAACTTTCAATAAAAAAAATGCCTTTTAAAGTTCAATTTTCTGAAAACCCAATTTGTCAACAATATTTTAGTCCACACTTTTCTCACTAGTGAACAAAATAAATCATAATTAAGATATCTTCAGACACCATCATTGAGTGTGTTAATAAAATCAACAGTTGAGTAAAATACAAATTAAGGAATTTGTATTGTTGTTTTCTTATTATTTTTGTTATTTCAAAACGAATCGTCAGGTAATTTATACGAGAAAAGAAAAGAATCTTAAATGGTGTATTTAAATGTTTTACACTCACAAAAAAGAAACCTATCATTCTATAGGTATTTGAAGAACTTGTAGCATTTCACCCCAGTGGCACAGCGGTATGTCTGCGGACTTACAACGCTAGAATCCGGGTTTCGATACCCGTAGTGGGCAGAGCACAGATAGCCCACTGTGTAGCTTTGTGCTTAATTACAAACAAACAAAACACTGGGTAGCTGTAGTACATAATTGGATAGAGTTGTTTAAACATTTTTAACAGCAAGTAAAAGCTTGGAATGGTGTATTCTTTCATTGGGGGTGTGTCTGTGAGCCAGACCATTTCAATTTTCGATACCTCACTACTATAAAGGTTTGGTAGTATCTACGGTCACTGATGAGGATGACCAGGTGGTTAGAGCACTGCACTCGCAATCTGCGGGTCGCGGGTTCGAATCCCAGTTATACCAAACATGCTCGCTCTTTCAGCCGTGGGGGCGATATAATATAAGGTTGGTAAAATAATAACCCAATAGTTGACTATCTGCCTTCCCTCTAGTCTTACACTGCTAAATTAGGGACGGCTAGCGCAGATGACTTTGAGCGAAATTCGAAACAAACAAACTCTATTCAAAAATAATTTTAAGCTCGATTTGTTTTTAAAAATTTTCATTAAAATTGTGAAAAATCATCATTACATATTAAAAATTTGAGATTTTTTGCTGTTGTTGAAACTCAGTCTGTTCCACAATATATTATCTATGTAGTTTCTGCATCTTTCACCTTGTCAACATTCTTAACTTAATGGTCTCATGATATGGCGGTTATCCATAAAATTAAAAATGATTATGTCGAATAACACAATATTATTGAAACAATACTTAAACGAAATAAGTTGTAAAATATGGATAATATACAGGAATAACATCCTGTAACTTTATCTGGTATATGTATGTAATATAAAGAAAATGGAAACAATTAATTCTATAAAAACAATATTAATAAGCAAATAAATAACGGGAAGGTAGTTGTAATACAGACAAATATTTTGAATATATTGAGAATGTTAAAATTAGTCTGAAATCTAGAAATAGTATTAGTAATAGCCTTGTTATGATAACATATATAAATAGGTTTATTATATCACGAGTAGGTGCAGTGACGAACTCCTAGAATGACTTAAACGAGATTGAAAATGGTTTTGAAATAATCTATATTCTAATGCAAATGTTTAGATATTACTACATAATCTACATAAAAAATACGTAATCTAGTCGTCATAAAATTCAGAAATAATCTTTAATGTAGTGATCATATTTTAAACTAACTTGTCAAGTAGAAAAACAAACTGAGAACATATCCTGAATTTTGTTTGTTTGTTGTTAACTACAAAGTTACTCAATGAGCTATCTGTATTTTTAGTTTAATATAAACAGTGTTATATTTGTATTTAAAACTGGAAATATAGTGCTCAAACGTTAAGATATTTTATACGCTGAGAAGCGAGATATCTTTTCAGGCATAACATATATGGTAAAATAGCCCATAATCTCTCTAGTTTCTCAATGTCACATAATTGAAGACATATTGTGCACGTTTTGTTACTGCTAACATACTTATATTTTCTCTCTTTGTATTTATACTTGCTAAGTTCCCTCACAGAGCATAGTAAGTGGACCTTATGACATTTTCAAGGAGTTTGAGATACTTTTAGCATTAATTAGGTATATAATTTTCAGAATAGATTAACAATGCGATATTTTTAGTTGTCTTTATTACAACCTTATATCTTTTTTTTTCTCTTTTTTTTTCTGGGCTCTGAGTTGCCATGAAGCAAAAATATACAAACAGCGATCTTATAAAAAAAGGTCCATTCTAGTTTAATCTAGTTTTTAAAAGTAGAAAAAATAAAAAGATAACATCTGTTATTAGATTATAAAACCTTTTTTATTTTGCATTATAAATTTGTTCAATGAAATAATATATATGTTAAAGACTTTTAGAGATAAACCACCTTTAAAGTTTTCAGTTTTAGCTTTTACATTCTTAACGACGTTACGAGTAAACGTAGATGATCTCGTCACCCCGTGGTAGCACATTTTGGAATTATCCGCTGTCTGGCGCTACTTTTTGGAACTATGATGTAACGCAGGGGTCACCAAACTTTTTTCACAGTGGGCCAGATAACTGAGAGAATGATGAGCGCGGGCCGCATAACCATTTTGTTCAATACAATACAGTGAATACACAAAAAATTAAGACAACAAACATGTTTATTTTCCAAAAGTTATCAAAGAAGGCGACGTCAGCAATAAGATAGTTATATCACACCCAGTGCGCACATATCCGAATCTCACAAACTAAGCAGCAAAAAAGGTTTGTGAGATTTGTGAAACTGGCGTTTAGCTTTTGAGATATCATCAATATTTGATTTGGAATTGCTGCATCCAACCAAGAGAATTGCTTTCAAATGTTCATCAGTCAACCTCGTTCGATGTGCTGACTTCACGTACTTCATTTTTGAAAATGTTTGCTCACAGACATAGGTTGTTCCAAACACTGATGCCATACCAGAGGCAAATTTCTTCAACTTTGAAAACTCATCATCAGGTAAGCAGCGATAAAACTGAACAAGTTTTCCTTCTCTGTGCTTCTCTTTCAACAAGTCATTTGCTTGCAAATCAATGAGCTCCAACTATAGTTCGACTGGCACGTCATCAAGGTTACAATCAAACGGATTCTGGAACAGAAGGACATCACTCTCAATTCTTTCAAGATCTGAAAATCTCTCCAAAAAAATGCTCATTTAAGTCATTAAT